GTGCCGAGCCCCGCAGCGTGCCGAGCCCCGCAGCGTGCCGCCAGGCTTCGGGTAGGGCTTGGCGTCTGGCCACGACGGCCGAGCTCCGTCATTCCTCCTTTGTAATTCAAATACATTCTCATTGCTCAGTGCTTACTAATAAACACCCTGTCTGGTGACTTTATATAACACGCCTGATAGCTGTATTTAACTGCAATACTAATGTCATTTCCAATACCTTCGTGTAAAATAAACCCTTCTGGACTACACAGCAACAAAGCCTCAAGGTTTATCCAGCTTTAGCTCACTAAATTCTGTTACAAGATTTCATACGTTATTGTGTAATACTGACTTAATGAAACTAAAATTGAAACTGAAATCTGGTGTATGATATGGCTGTACTCCAGTGATAAGAAAATACATGTTTTCTACTAATTAATTGTGATTTGAGCACAATGGCACTAACAGAACTGTTGGTCTGCAATGTATTTTTTTTTACCTAGTAGGTGGCCAGGACTGCAGTAAATCAGAGGAGATGCAGTTATCTGAAGATTCAATTAGTATCTCACTTCTCTTGTTGCCAGAGATACCATCACACAAGAGAAATGTGAGGTTTAATCCCAAACGGCACCCCTGTAGTGCTGCAGTGACCCAGAGGTCTAACAATAACCGTGTTAGCGCTGACCATTTGAAAGTAAAATAATGTTTGGTTTAGGTCAAGCCTGGCCCAGAAATCCCAACCCCTATCCCCCCTATCTCTGCTCTGATCTGCTGGTTGTAACAAGTTCTATCTCATTTCTTAGTGTTTTCACTGTGGACAATTTCCTCAGTGAGAGGAAAATTAAATGCCAGGAAAAAAAGAAGCCAGAAATACTTACACTATAAAAATGTACCTGGACTTTAATGGCCTCTCTGAGAAAGGCAACCATTTCCACCCCACCCCACCCCCCGTCTATTCTGCTGCTCTCTTCTTCTTAGGATTTTTATTTTGTTGTTTTGCTTGTCCGAGGCCTAGTGTTACTTCTGTGGCAACTCTAAATTCCACATGCAATAAGATCTGGTTTCCAATATAGAAGGGAAGGGGAATGAACATTTATACATCTATTTCTTTTCACAGAACAGAAGGAAAATGAACCAGCTGCAGGCTTTGCTCTTATCAGAACAATGCATGTGGAAAATGCAGCTATCATCAACATAAAGGAAGGACAAGTCTGTCCATCAACCTCTGGCTTTAATGTAAGAGATCAAAGAATGTCCCGGGAAGCAGAGGTAGAAACTCTGGGAATCTGGAGCACAAAGCAGCAATAATGGCAGGGAGCATTGCACTCTACCAAATACATTGGCTTCCTTCAACCTCGGGGACCGAGTTATGGGGTACGGCCTAGCTGCTGTGTTGGGAGGCTAACTTGCAAAGTTGGTTGCTAATTTCACATCTTTGATTTTTGGAAGGAAGATGCCATTTAGCTGGCATTTTCAAGAATTCCTTTTTACCCACTCTCTGCTCAATGATTCCACCAGTAAAACAGATGTACATAGATCAATTCCCTGGCATTGAGACCTGTTGGTGCAGAATGTGCTGTGCCCACACTACAACCCCAGCACAGAGCAGCTATACTACATGGCCTGCAGGGAGTGGTCCTGGGCCATTCTTGTCTCAGAATTACTTGGGAAACTGCTTGCTGGCCCAGGCCAAAACTCTACTTTGAGTATTCCGACAGTTCTCAGAACAGCTCCCTGGCACCTTAAATTTGCTGGTATAGCTGTGGTTGATCTGTTTTCATTGTCCATCAGCTGATACACAGCAGAATAACAGCACTTCCAGTCATATTATATTACACTCCCTGAAAGAGTTGATGAATTTCCTGGGAGCTCAGGAATGTTCCCCACACCACAGTCGTCCTTATGTCACTGGAAGGTAGCACTTTGTCTCCTAATCGCCATGACACCAGCTTTCAAACATTCCCCAGCAGTTTTTCCAGGGGTACATATTGTTACCTTTAGCATGCTTAGAAGAATGTGTTCAGAAGATGAAGCACTTGTTAAGATATCCCCATCCCTGGGGACAGATTCTCAGAGAGTGTTATCAGTCCATTAGGTAATAGTGACATCATCTTTAATATGGAAATGATCTTTACTATAAACCACAGCTTTCAGAGGTGCCGGCCTGCTGGCTCTTCAGCAAGGCAGATTACATACAGAGGTCCAGAGCAAAATCCTCAGCCAGTGTAAATCATACCCAGTTCCACTGACCTGAAGAATTTCAGGCCAGAAGGGATCATTGGATCATCTCATCCAACCAGCTGAATATAAATCTGCCAAACCAGTGACCCAGTTATGCATACACTGAGCCCAAGAGCATATTGACATGAATAGATTTGTGACCCATGCAGACTGCTCCATTGAGGTGCGAGGATCTGGTCTGGACTTTATAAAAGTTACACTTCCCCACTTAAGACTAAGAACGTTTGAAACTGGCATCCTCGGGTGAGCTCTGCACCACTTAGGGAAGACTGGGGCCTGCCCTGTATTGCCTTTCAACAGCAAGGTCCATCACCACAGGGTGCGCTGTCAACCTAGAAGAGTGTCACTGAGGAATGAGACTACGCAGAGGGTAACCACAGACTAAGCAGATTGTTTTAAATGAGACTCTGAAAATATAGTGGACTGTAGAGAAACTAGGTCTAGTTTCATAGCCAGGCAGATGTGTTTTGGTTGGTTGGGTTTTTTACATCGAAATTTTAAGTGAGCTACCAAAGACAGATGGAGGGTAGAAAGCAGTTCATCATTGCAAAGAGATACATTTTTGGTCCATAACACTATGTTGTACTAACATAGGTGCCACCAGAGAATGCTTTAAACCTTATCTATGCCTTCTACAAGAACTTACTGAAAGTTAGAAGTGGAGGACTCTACTTCAAGGAGAAGTAGTATAAATGTGTCCTTGCGGATGAGCATTCCATCTATCTTCAAAATGTATGTTGACAAGAGCTGTGGCTGTTTTGAGAAATCTGGGGACTTCCTACTTCCTTCCCTTGCTGCCTAGTTATGTGAACACTGTAACACAAGCAGAAAACCCTTCACATGCCTCTTTCTTTCTCTACATATCACTTTCCCAGCAGGTGTGGAATGAAATCGGTGCAGAATACAAAAAAGCTTCAGCTGTATAGTATAAATTTAATGGGAAACACCATTCATTTCCCTAATACCACAATACCACCTGCAGGGCTTGTCATGTTGTCCTTTAAAACAGTTCATCTCCCTAAGCTCAGTAAAAACTATCACTGATTTTTTTTGCTGGATTGGTTTCTTGCCTCATTAATTAATTAATCAGGTAATAGAAGGGCCTGGTGGGCCCAGGGCCAGAATAAGGTAGCTGGGTCAGGGGAGAAAAAAGGCCCAGGTGAGCAGGACCTGTTTGACACTCATGTTGTGGGGCTCCAGCCTTGGTAATTCACCACTGAAATTCAGAGACACAGCCTGAGGACACGGCTGCATGTAGCCATGCTCAAGACAGCAGTATTTTATACTACGGCCAAGTCACACATTCTGAAGCAACATCCATCCAAATGGGTGTTAGTGAGATCTTAATTCTTCCCCTCCTGAGTAAATCCACACTGAAATGAACTAAGCAACTTGCAGAAGAGGCTGAGCAGCTCTCAAGTTTCGATCCCTTTTCAGGAAAATGCAGTACTTTGCAATGTCTTTTTCCATACTTTATTAGAAATTGGTGAGGCAGAGTTTGGGAGACAGGGTTCATAAAACATTAGGCATGGTCTCATGGAAACACTAGTTATTTTATTTGCATTTATCAGAGCTTTTGCTTATGACATTGAGCAGTAGAATAACACTTCAAAATGCTGTGCAGTAATACATTTATCAATGGAAGTAAGAATAGGCAATATAATAAAGCATTTGACTGACTTGCTTTAATAGTCAGCAGTCTTCAGAACATGCACTGCCACTGTTTATCAGTGTCCTGGCTTAGACTTTAAGGCAGTATTTGCCCTTTTCCCCCCCAAGAAATAGGTATACTGGCAAAGAAAATGCCTCCAGTTGGCCCAAACTGTCAGGCAATATGTATATCTATGTGGGGTTTTTAGAACCTTGTAACCTTATACCAGTTTTCCATATTATCTAGCCAGATGGAGGCCTGATTGTTGTGAAGACAAAGACTTTCATCCTGGTCGCTACTTACAAAGCAGGTGTGTATCCCAGTGTGTGTGTGGAAGCTGTGGAGATACAAGGTAAGAGAAATGGCTGTACCTGTGTGCCTGCATGCTGGCATCTCACTGATCAGCCCTGCCCTTGCAAAAAGCTTCAAAAGTCAACCTGACAAACTACCAAACCCTGAAAATCTCAGTAGCTGAACAGAGATGTGGTTATGGCTCCGCAGCTAAACCCTCTCCAGACATCACATCCCACTGTGCTCCACAGCCTCCATAAGCATGAACAGGTTGCCAAACTCTCTTCCCTTGGCCATTCTGGCACAAGTTTTCTGTTAGTTACCCTTCAACAAAATGGGATCTGGCAGTCCCATGTTCTTGACCTCATATGTCTCATGCTTAGGTCTTAAGCACAAGTTTGTAGAGCATCAGCTTTGATTCTCAGATTCACAGCCCACTTCTTCAAAGGGACATGAAGTCTCCAAGGGCTTCAGACCTTCCCTAGAAAGCCTAGTCTCTAGAAGAAAGCTGGAGTCTCTTTTCCTGCATCTTGAGACATCATCAAGCTAGTCCCCTTGTCTCAGTAACAAAGCACCTCTTCTCTAAGAAAAGTGCCCGTTTCCTTCCCTTTGCTGCTTGAGTTTTCTTTGTGAGCTTTCTTGGGCTTAGTGTTTTTAGGTTTCGTGTTAACATCTAACTCTGTTCTCCATTTGCAGGGGAATATTGCAAACCCCAGCCCTTCCCAGACCAGCTGCAGAATCCTGATTGCATCTCAAATGTAGCTTTTCCTTTATGTGGAGGTGCTGGCAAGGCAAAACCACTCTTCATTGTCCTTGGCTGGGGAGCTAAATAATAGGGTTACACATCTTATTGATGTAATATATGCTGACTCCATATCAAGAATACAGTCATTTTATTGCATCATCCAAATGGATAAAATGCACAAGAGTAGATTCCCAGAATAGCCTTGATTTTAACAATAGGGGTAATTTAAGAAATTTCTAAGGAATTTCATGGACATTTCTAAGGAGTATTTTGTAGAGCAATAACATTCAACTTCATCTATGTATATGCCCATATTCTTTCACTGAATAGGAATGAAATTACAGGCCCCTGTGTTCCTAGCTTTTGTTCCCCATTTAGGTGCCTAAAAGTAAGTGGTATTTATTTTGTGTTTTGGGGCATAAGCTGTTTAGTCTGGAATGAACTGCAAGAACAGCCTGACACCAAGCACAGACCCACGAGCCAAAACCAGACTTCTGAGGGCCCAGCAGGCGAATTTGTTTTTAAACCTGCATTATAGCTCCTAATACCCTACTCTTGATCATAGCATTTTCAATTCTAAAAGCCTTTTGAAAAAGGTCTGATGAAAAATTTGTCACTGAGAGTCTTACAGTTCATTCCAGACTAAACAGCTTATGCTCCAAAACACAAAATAAATACCACTGCACTGCAGTGCCTAGAAAGCCTTCATTTTCTTGCGCTCCAGACATGATTCCAGCTCATGCCTGTCATGTGTTGTGTTCTGTGAAAGCTTAGGTATTACAAGTCTTTGTCACTGACATGCACGGTCAGCACATCACCTTCATGTGATTTTGGTGGACATTTATGTGCTGGGCTATGAACAGAGAAGCAGACAAATTTCCCATTTTGATACTACGTGGCATAGATAAGGACAGAAAGCTTCCAGCAGTAACCTCAAGGACGTCCACTGGGTTAAGTTTACTGAGAGCATGATTAGGAGTTTTTATTCACTGGATCAAAATAGGCATAAAATACCAAAGCAGAATGGTCCTTCCAAATGAGGAAGGTTTTCAAGGGATCGTTTTTCCATCTAGGGCAACATTAATGAGACTAAATCTAGGAATTAGGCCTCATATTTTAAGATAACTTCAGACTACCTCTGTCCTAGTATTTTTCTGCAGTACTACAAATGGAATTGTAGCAGATTCAGAAGGTTTTATTTAGCCCCAGGTCTGTCCAGCTGGCTCAGTAATAAATTCAGGAACCATATTATAGTTGATACTCGCTCCTTCGTTGCCACAGGAGGAAGGAAGAAAGTGTGAAGTTGGAAGACTGCAAAAAACTGCCAACGCTTGCAAAATCCTGTAACAATTTTCATATTTGGTCTTGCAGGCAGTCATCTTGTCTGTAATTGGCCACTGTTCCTGAGTAAATTCTAAGGTTTAAGCCAGATCTGCAGTGGTTTTGACAACATACATTCTCTGGAGTTTATTCTTGCTGTTCTGGGTGATTTCTTTGTGAAAAGAAAACAAAGCAGCTTTTCTTCACATGTAACAAGAGATTTCTGAAAATGATATAAAGTGTGCAGTGTTGATTCTCTGGAACAGATAATACCTCATGAATACAGGAATTAGTATTTTGAATGGTCAGCTAGAAATACTGCTGTCTGCTTTTGAGTACAGTGTAGTCTGAGGTGGATCTGAACTTGAAAAAAACCACCTCCATTTCAGCAATTCTGTGTATGATTTTCATCATTGTTGATTTTTTTTTTTTTCCTTGTATTTTTATAGCAGACTACTTTAGAGAGAAAGTTAGCTGAATCTGCAGAAAACTGGAACTCCATTAAGCTCAGAAGGACTGCTCACAAGGAGATAAAGTATAGAAGTTTGAAGCATTATCCAATTTAAGCAAGAAACTGCTGCTTTACAACATTACAACTGCTGAATTTCCTTCTGTTTTTTCAAGAATGCTTGGGAGTTCACTGCTTATAAGAGGACTACCCTATTCATCTATCCTCTAAGTTTCTTAACTGAACTGAGAGTGATTTGGTTTAGGATGCTCTGCTTAATCTTTCTAATGTGTCTTTTCACCTGTTTCCAGGTAAGAAAACTGTTAATCTCACTAAGTAAGTTCTCTTAATAGCATTATAGCTATGCAAAGCATCACTGTCCCAAGAGACGAAAGAAAATGCTGCATTAACATATTTTCAGACTGTCCTGCACATCTTTGAATATGACAAATAGAACACATTTTTAACATGACAGTTTGCATTGTCATTGACTGCTATAAAGTTATTTTGAACTGTAGTGATTGCAAAGTTCTGTGAGGAGTGGGGAGGAAGAACAACATCACTACCAGGCTTAAATCACACTGTGTATACAGGACATCAAAGAAGATGAGTTTCAAGAAGACCAGGCTCCATGATCTTTTCATTTGCAGAAACAAATAAATTATTAGCTATTTGAGTCATGTGAGAACAAAAGACTTTTTAGCTATATTTGATTCTGAATTAGTTTAATTTCAAAGAAGAGTTTAAAAGTCTGAATCCCAAAATCTCAAAATTGAGAGGAAAAAAGTCCACAGAATAATCCCACAAATGGACAGACATACAAATTAACATTTTTAAATACTCTGAAGTGCCAGTTTTATTCCCTGACAACTCAAATAGTCAAGAGCTGGTAACAAGGACACAGAGAAAGGCATGATCTGATCCTTCTTTTGGAGAAAAGAGCGAAGAAAATGAAGAGGTGTGATCATGCACCTAAACCATTATGTAGAAATGCACGGGGCTTGTGGACCTAAGTTTGTGCCTCAACCGCTGGACTAGGTCCGTGGGTAGAAATAATGGTGAGATATATTGTAATATTTCTGACTCTGCTCATGACTGTCCCTCCAAAGTAAAACACACCCCCATCCTGCTCCACCCTCTGACTTTCTCAGGGACAGCCAATTGCAAGAGCTGGGAAAGGAGGATTTGAGATCAGACTCAGTTCCTGAGAAGAGGCTGGGTTCGTTCCCAGCGCTGAGAAGGTCCGTCTTTACAGGGAAAAGATGAGTCACAAACTGTGCTCAGGAACAGCCAGTTGCAAGAGCTGGGAGAGGAGGACTGGGGTTAGACTCTGATCCTGAGAGCTGGCTGGGTTTGTTCCCAATGCAGAGAAGGTCCTTACTTCCTTTACAGGAAAAAGGTGAGTAATGAATCATGCTTGATGAACCACATAACTTCTTTGAATTGTTGTTTTGGGCCATTGCTGGCAGATCTGACAATTTGAAGTTGTTGCTTTTTGTTGGGAACTTGGTTTTCAATTCCTGTGGTTTTCTGCCCATTTGAAAGCAATGTACTGGGATCCTCACTGGTGCTTTCCTACCACCCAGTGGACACAGGGAAGACTCCACCAGGTTTGATTTTGCCAGGCAGGAGGAGGCTGGACCTCTCAGCCCAGCTCAACAACTGCTGGTGCCAAAAGCAAGGAACCCAGAACAGCGTCTGAGGAGTTACTTGAGCGACTCCTGCAGCAGTGGGACCCTCTACCAGAGCAAATCGGGCACACAGGAATCACCTGCTGAGGCAAGGCAGATAAATAGGAGAGTTTAAAACCATTTGTTATCTTTCAGGCAAGGGGGATAAACAGGAGAGTTTAAAACCATTTGTTATCTTATGTATCTTCAAGTTGTTGTCTATGGGATGAATTGTCTATGGGCAGCACTTACATGATTTTAGATGTGTCAAACAAAGGCTCTTTCTGTCGAGTTTTAAAATCCCATTTGTGTCTACCACTTTAATAGCCCTTGTCCTTCAGTCAGTTGAGCAAGGGAGTCCTAATCATGCTGGGAGTGAGAGCAAGGGAGGGTGTTTTGAGTGTTACATTTCACAGTTAAGGTGGGTGGTCAGTGCTGCTGGCTCCACACATGGCTCTGTGCAGGATTAAAGCCTGTGACTTGATGCAAAGTGATCTTCATGGTTTGTCAAATGGCTTTTGCAATGATACGTTGTGTCCCAACATTAATGTATTCATTGCATTGTAACTCCTCAGCTTTCTCTGGCAGCTCTCCCCTCTTCTACCTTTGAACTGTGTCACAGTTTGCATTCTCCATCTGCAGAGTGAAATCTCTGGAGCTGTGGTTACCAATTACTGAGACTTTCCAGCTGCACATAAGTGTGCCTGCATTCATGCCAGGTTTTTGGGTTTGTTATTTTGTTTTTCTTTTTTTTTTTTTTTCTTTCAGATAACATGTTGGCAGACTATTTTGATCACTATGGAGGCCCAGACAACCTCTATGTGAAAAAAGTGACGAAACTAAATCCAGGAGAAGGGGAAGTCCTTCTGAAGGTCTCTGCCAGAGCTCTGAATACGGATGATTTACTCCAGGTATGTGTATGTTAAACAGATTTATCCACCTGAAAACGACACTGATTTTTTCAAGCCCCACTCTGAAGTCTTGACAAATCTGAAGAGTTAAAAGAGATTGGACCTGGTGAGCAATTGGATGGGAGAGTTCAAGAAGAGATGTCTGCTGATTCAGCAGATAAGTGTTTTTGTCTGGGTCACTGCAGTGCTGGAGTGGCATGGAAAGGCAGCTGCCTTTCAAGGAAAGATATAAAACCAGAGCTCCGGTCTTTCTAGATGCTTAGACCATTCTCTGGGCGTTTGAGATGAACATGTAATATTTCACTGGCTCCATCACAGCAGGGAAAAATCACATTCAAATTGTTAAGCCTGAGCTGCTTTAGTTTGAGCTGAAAGCCATGCTCTGCAACTGGGGACCATAATACCTCCCCAGCATGGATTGGCCTGGTCAAAGGGGACTCACAACAGATTGAATTTGCAGACAGAGTTTTAAGACTAAAACATACTGAGGAAACAAGAAGTGTTGCTAGAGTATAGAAGATGCTCAACTCACTGGAACATTTGCACAGTGCAAAAATCAGGATTAAATAAGTAGGAATTTAGGTTGGATGTGAATGAAATACTGCAAGTCATTACACTCAGTGATATGTGGCTTTTTCTTCCTTGCCCTCTCTTTTGTTTTATTTTAGAGGAAAGGGAAGTGCACTCACCCCAAAGGAGCAAGCAGTATTTTAGGCTTAGAAGCAGCTGGAAATGTGGTTGGGCTCGGACCTGGCTGCAGAGGCCACTGGAAGACTGGTGATGCAGTGATGGCTCTGCTCTCTGGAGGTGGCCAGGCAAAATACGTCACAGTACCTGAAGGCTGCCTGATGCCAGTTCCCAAAGATCTGACTTTTACTCAGGCTGTGGCCATTCCTGAAGCCTGGTTAACAGCCTTTCAGCTGCTGCGCTTTGTAGGTGAGAAGCGTATTTGCAAATCTATCCCACCAAAGGAAGCTTGTCTTCCTTTCTTTTCTGAAATCCTCTCTTTCTTGCCTCCACCTGTAGGCTGTTTGCCTTCAAAGAACCTTTTCTCTGTCATTCCACTCACATGGGTCAGAATCCGGTATGCCAGGCCCAAATCCTGAAATCTTGACCACATCTCCCCAGTCACAACTTACTCTGCTGATTGCATATTTACAAGGAAGGATATGGAAAGATGGTAATTTTTCTTTTAATCTGTATTTCTTAGCTTGAATGGCAATTTCCATTAAGCCTAAACCCTGAAATAAATTACATGTTCTCCAGAAAACTGCAAATGCATCCTACTTCTAAAGATTTGACTTTGTTGCAAGCATAACTATATCATGAACTTTCTCATTAATTGCCTGTGTATCTACAGTAGATAACATCTTCTTCTGTCTTGTTTCACAGAGATGTTAATTTTAGGTAAAATCCCCTCTGAGCTGATTTAAACCAGATACAAGCTCACACTCTTCATTCTGAAAATGAGCTATCAAGGCACTAAGAGTAGCAATTACCAGGGTTTTCCTCTGTTGACAAATATCCTTCTCCTACCCTCTTCAGCAGCAGCATCTAAAAGCTTCACTAAAGAACAGAAGTTACAAACAAGTAACTTTTCTCACTACCCAAAATACAGACTTGCTGTGAACAGTGTTGTTTCCTTGGGGACTGTGGTGAATAAGGGCCATGTCTCCAGGATTACTCAGTGCCTCACTTCCAGTAGCAATCAGTGGAACACAAACAAATGTGTGAGGGCAGCTGGTAGATGGTAAAGTGATAAGTAAAACTGCTCCTTAACATTAGCCAGCACTGCTGGTATTTCTCCATTGTTGAGTGCCTTATTTCTCAGTAGTAACATCCTCCAAGTGTTTTCTGTTGGTGGCAGTGGACAAGTCCTGGTATAAAAAGGCTGACTGCACTCACCTCAGCAGCTTGGTCACGGACACCTAGAACCAGACAGGCCTAAGCTAAAGTCATCCCACTGGAGATGGTAAAACGGAGTCCTGTTGGTATGCTGTGAGCTGTTAGTTCTGTATTTGTTTCTTTTATGAAGGATATGAAGATGTAAACAAAGCCCACTTAAGGGCATCTCTTTCAGCTTCCTCTTCAGTATTTTCCACACTGCTTGTTTTTTAATCCAAATGTGATGACAAAGGGGTAACTATTTCCCTTACATCCTCCTTTCAGGTAAAGTATAGGAGGGCGAGAGAGTGCTGATCCACTCGAGCTAGTGGAGTTGGGTTAGCAGCCATTCAGCTGGTAAGACTGGCAAAAGCTATTCCCATTGTGACCGCAGAAACCCAAAAGAAACTGAAAGCAACAGCAAAAGCTGGAGCAGCTGTGGGGTTCAAGTACAAGAATGGAGATTTTAGTGAAGACGTCTTGGTGTTCACCCAAGGTAAGAACCTCAATGTGAAAGACACTGTTACAGCTAAGGAGTAAGCACCTCCGAACGTACATGCACATACGCTCAATTTCAACTGTCACCTTAGCTGGTGAAGGAGCAGACAATAACGATGATTTTGGAACAACCAAATATCCTGTTCAGCCCAAGAATGTATCTTTCCTTAGTTTAATTGCACTCAGTTTTCTGCATGGAATCTCTGTGTGTTCATCTGCGGCACTAATATTGTGGCTCTGTTATTGCTGCCTCCACAAGGAACAGGGAGATCCTCTCACTTGTCTTTTTAAGTGTTTGAATACAGGAACAAAAATCAGTTCTCTGTTAGAAAAAATCAGCTTGTCTAAGCATTTGGGATGGTTTATGATGCAGTCTGCATCTGGATATCCATATCTATCTATATCTATCTATCTATAGATATCTGTATCTAATGATTATTTTTTGTGCCTAGTTCTAGAATTCCTCACAAATCATTGTGCCAATTCCCAATTCCAGTAGAAAGAGTTAAATAAGAACTGCAGGATTGATTCTGTTCCTGTGAAGTACAAGATTTTAGTTCTGCCTGAAATTCTTCTACCTTTAACTACATTGCTGAAATATTTTCTGTTTCTACTTGAGGTTCTGGCATAGATATTATTTTGGATCCTGTTGGTGGCTCTTACTGGGAGAAGAAGCTGTCTGAGTACTGATGGCTGGTGGATTATTTATGAACTACTAGGTGGAGGTGTAGTACATGGAGATTTGCTTTCAAGCCTGCTTTACAAAAGAGCAACCATCCACACAAGTCTATTACGATCACGAGACAAGAAGGCAAGTAATGGCTATCAACAATGTATATAGTTTCATCTTAAAATCAGTCACAGTTTGAGAGCTTTCTTTTGATACCAATGTTAAAGCAGAATCTAACACACCATTACCAAAAAAGCAGCACCTTGAACTGTTACTACATACTTTGGAAAACACTGCCAAATTAAGTTCTAAATTCCCTTTTCTATTTTTATCAAATGCATCCCTTTTACTGCCAGGACTTCTTAATGGACTTCACATATACCATAGTTCAAAGGTTTGGCCTAAAAATAAGCAAAACTCAAGTGATCAGGAAACTTAATCAAGTTGCGGGTGGGTGGGGAGAAAACCTCTGTCAGATCATTTTTCAAAGTAGAGACCAAGGTCATTTGGATCCCTGGATATTGCCAACGAAAAATCACCTTCTGAGGAAAATTCTTAGCTATTACAGTGCAGAGCCCTGGAATAGATTTTTCCATGGTTTAATACAAAATATTCTTAAGAACTTTAATCAGTTTGAGTTTAACTGGTTCTGTGCTAAGCTTATACAACTCGTTTTGGAGAATTTCAGTCAATTAAAATATAATCTACACGTTTTCTGCTTGTTTGTAACTTATACCTGTCTCACTATGAAAATGTCAGGAGCTCTCTCCCCGAGAACTGTGATTAGTGATACCTCTGTCAATGAAATGACTGCAAATAACCCTCAAAATTCTTTTTTTCTCCTTCAGTATAAGGCACAGCTGGTGAAGGACTTCATAGAAAATGTGCTGCAGTATTTTTCTGGAGGAAGGTCCCCTCATTTCCAACTGTCTGTCCACAGCGTTTACTGTCTGCAGGACATTGCCAAGGGACACAAGGCCATGGAGAAAAACACGAATATTGGCAAGACTGTCATGGAAATACATGATTTAGTTCCAGGGAGGCAAGTGCCTCGCAACCAGAAAAACTGAACTTCTGCTTCCACATCGGAACGATCTGTTGTGAGAGGGTGCCAAAGCGGGGGGGTAAAGCAGTGCCTTACAGGACGCGCTCAATAAAAGAGATTCGTATTTGCAGCTCTAGCACTGTGTCCTGAACGTTGGAGGGAACTGCCAGGCCCGGCTCCCGCTCCATCACCGCCTGCCCCCCGCGGCTTCCCCGGCGGCCACCCCACCGTGACCCCGAGGCCTGACCC